ACATTTTTGCATAGGAAAATGTCATCACTTTCCTGATGACCCAATATTTAATGGGGTCAAAACTTGCATTGGGAAGATAAAAGATCTTGGGACAAGCTGTTGGCATAGTGGTTAAGTCACTGGACCCCTACATAGTCAACCACAGTTAAGTCCCAGACCTGGTGACTTGAAACTTGCACCAGGTATATGTGCATGTGTCCCCAACATCCTAAGAGAATGAGGAGAAGGGATTGTGGTGTGGACATCCCCTGGGTGGGTGGGTGGGGGGCATTTACTTTCTGTCTCTCTGGCGAGCATGTATCCTATAGTAAAATCTCTCCAAAAACAAAATCTAGAGTGATGATGACTGCACAACAAGATAAATATATCAAATATCACTGGACTCTATAATTTAAAATGGTTAATAAGGTAAATTTTACATTGTGTATATTTTACTACACTACACACACACACACACACACACAACACACACACACACACACACACAAAATAATCTAGAGGGCAGATCTCCTTGCAGCTCTGTGTGAAATTATGCTGGCATAGGGAAAGCAGGTTGTACTTGCACCTGTGTCCCTTCTATTCCCATTTCCAATTCCATTCAAGAGAAGGTGAGTGGTTTCTGTCTAGGATGAGCTCTCCTTTTTGACTGTGATTAACTTGCAAAGAATTTCTGAGGTGGGTGTCAGGATCTGACATGGCTGCAGCCCTGCTACACCAGCATGCTGAAGGAATGCAGAATGAAGGCAGAATGCAAGAATATTCTAGCAGAATGAACATAACACACAAAGTCACAAAGTTACTCTTCAATTCAACCAAAAATAAATATCAGTATTATATATATATTATATATCTCTGATATATATATATAACTGATACAACTTTTAAAAATTAAGAGATCCTTCTGTCCTCTTTTAAAATAAAAGAGCATTTCCCTCAAGTACTCCAAGTCAGCTGCGAACTCAGTTTTTGTTGCCATTACCACTTCCAGGCCAAAGCTATGTAGAAGAGACTGGCTTCATTCACTTGGTATAATGTTTTGAAGTCTCCACATGTCGTAGCATGTTTCATAGTCTGTTCTACAGTATAGTTTAATAATATTCCATTGCATGGGTATATCATATCGGTTTAATCCATTGATCCATTCAATAGATATTTGGATTGATTCCAATTTCATCCTATTATGAAGAATTCTGCTATGAACATTCCAGTACAAATCTTTGTGTGTTTCATTTTTATTGGCAATATGATTCCTAAGATAGGATTTGCTGAGTCATATGGTAAGTACCCGCTTACTTTTCTTTTCCTTTTTTAAAAAAATAATTAATTAATTAATTTTGTTTACATTTTTATTTCATTTCCTTTTATACATTCAATCACATCATTTAGCTTACAAAGTGAATATTTCAACATGTGAACATTTCTGCCTAGTCCAGTTGATAAAACTATAAAATATCTTCAACAGATAATACCACATTTCTTTGTCCCATTAATGTTTTATCTCCCTATTTTTCTTCTAAATGTCCTTTCTCAGACCCTACTCTTTCACACACACTATATCTGGTATTTACATCCATTTACTGTGTTTCTATATCCTTTAGTTAACCAGTTTCAGTCACAGAGCGTGGAACACTTGGTACATATTAAGTGGGGACATACAATGTCTCTCCTTCATAGCATGGCTTGCTTCATTCAGCAGTAAATCTTCCATATTCCTCCACTTTCTGTCAAAGAAATTGTCAAACTTTTCAAGGAGCTGAACCACCACATTCCCACAGGAATGGATGAATTTTCCATTTTTTCTATAGTCTCATCAATATCTGGTACTGATTTTTTTTTTCTTTTTTTTTCTCATGAAAGAGACAGAGAACGTGTGTGTGCATGAGATGGGGGTTTGGATATTTTTGATAGTCTTCCCATATCACAGTCCTCCTGCTTGTGCTTCTCAATTAGCTAGGACCGTAGCCTGTCTCATTACACCCAGTCTGTTTAAATTATACCAGGAATCAAATTTTCCCTCTCTGTGGGCTTTCCCACAGTGGCACCTTTCCACTTACACCAAGCCTAGGCCTTTTATGTCTTAATTATAATTATTCTAGTAGGTATAAAGTAGCATCTCATTGTATTTCCCTAATAACCTGAAACATCTTTTTGTGTACTTACTGGCAATTCCTATGTTTCTTTGATAAAATACGTGTTCAGTTCTTTTGCACATTTTTAGATAATTGGACTATCTTATTGAGTGGTAAGACCTCTTTATATATTTGAATATGATCTTAAAGAGCAAAACCTCTTAGAGGAACTACAGTAGGTTTAATAGAAGTATATAGCTATTATCAAAAGGTTCATGATCATAAATGACCTAATGACTATGAAAGAGTAATATATACTATAATTTCCACTCAAATGAATTTTATGCACTTATGCAATATATATATATTTTAATTTTCAAAAATCCCAATAGAGGGGACCAGTAGTTAGCGTAATGGCTATGTCGCTGGACTCCCATGCAGTCAACCGCGGTTAGCGTCCTGGACCCAGTGGCTTAAAACTCAAGCCAGGCACATGTGTGTGTGTGCCCAAGATCCCGAGAGGAGAACGGAGGAGAAGGGATTGCGGCATGACCATCCCCCCTGGGGGGTGATTTCTCGCTTTCTGTCTTTCTGTCTCTGTCTGTCTGGCGAGCGCCCTATAGCAAAAACCTCTCCAAAAAAAAAAAAAAATCCCAATAGAGAAAATAAGTAAAATGAGAACTGTAATGAACAATGTGTTCTTGAGATCAGCAGTTGGCGTAATGGCTATGTCGCTGGACTCCCATGTAGTTGACTGTGGTTCAAGTCTCAGACCCCTGGTGGCTTAAACTCACACCGTGTGTATGTGCGTGCGTACCCAAGATCCCGAGGGGAGAAAGGAGGAGAAGGGATTATGGTGTGGACATCCCCTCTGGGAGGTGATTTCTTGCTTTCTGTCTGTCTTTCTGGCAGGGACATTTGCCATACCTCTCGAAAAAAAAAGAAAAAGAACAATGTGTTCTTTATATCCATTAAGGGATATTTGGCATCCCAAGGTAGGCCTCTGAAAGTTGATGACTTTCCTTACCATTTAGGAGACTCCTGGAAAAAACGAAGATTAGATAGGGCTGACAGCCAGCTCTTTGGGTAAAAGGGATAGCATAGGGAACAAATGGGGAGAGTTCTCTCCTCACTTCCTTGGTGGTTTATTGCCAGAAGTGGGGTACGGTAGGGGCTATGAAACACTTCTCCAGCAGTTTCACTAGCTCTACCAGAGACCTCAGGGGAAGTATTGGGGAAAGTGGGCAGGGTTTTCTCTCCAAAAGCAGAGTCCCCAATGGGGAAGGATTCATCTTGAAGGGAGTGACAGTCTGGATACACAAGGCACTATAGTCACTGGGAAGGGCAAGCGAATACACACAACATGGAAGATTAGGGATCTTTTGTATTCGAATACAATTCCTTATGATATTCAAGGACCAGAAATGCATTAAGCCTTAAGAGTAACTTATTTCTTGGGACCAGCATAATGGTTATGTTGCTGGACTCCCACATAGTTGACTGTAGTTCAAGTCTTGGACCCAGCAGCTTAAAATTCACACCAGGTGCATGTGCATCCGTGCCCAAGATCCCAAGAGATGAATGGGAGTGAAAGAATTGTGGTGTAGCCACAGACCCCTGATTTTTCATTTTCTATCTCTCTGTCTCTGTCTCTTTGGCAAATGCATTCGCCCTATAGCAAAAATCTCTCCTAAAAAAGAAAGAAAAAAAGTAACTTAATCAGACTAACTACAGGAAATCTGTCTGAAGGAGAGTTAATGGCTATTATGCCAATGAAACATAATTTGAAAAACAAGTAAGAAGGATCCACTGGTCTGTAAGAGTTGCAGTATCAGGTCCTAGCAAGAAGATAACTTGAGTGGACAAACCGCCCAACAGCTCAACAATCAGGTAATGACACAGAGGTGAGTTCAAGATAGCTGGTGGGCAAAGCCATAAGGAGAAAAGAAATGTTGTCAACTGCAGGACAACAGTACTCTACCTTCAAATAAAATAGGTGAGCCACTTGGGAAGCATGTGTGAGATTAGGGGTTTTTTGGTAGAGAATCCCAGGTAGAAACTGATGCCATTATGAGCCACACTTTGAAAACACCACTCCTGTCCAATTTATCGTGGAAAATCTGGGATATGAAAGTAAATGACTCCATCTAGCAATATAGCATGGTCTAAGTAATAAAAACCTTCATGGGTACATGTACAGAAGCTCTCATGTTATTCAGGAGAGCTACTGTAACCAGATATTAATAATACATAGAAGATCTTTATTATTCTGTTCCAAATTCCGTCTTGCTCAGTGTGATACTTGGATGGAATATGGAGCTATCAATAAGGGGTGGCATGTTGAAAGGGTGTGAAGATGACATCCTGCTAAAAATTAAAGATACATGTGAACTTACTTAAATCTTAAGACCTTTTTCACAGGTATGATGCTCTCACGCTGTTTCTGTCACATTGCAGATACTGAAGCATACAAATAAGAAACACTTCAAATGTACTACATTTGTAAAGGTTTTCTTCATTTATTATACACCAATAAACCCCTAACAACTAGAAAAAAACATTTTGACTTTTATAATTGAAGCAGTTCCTTAAAGAACCAGATATATTTTGTGAGAGCCATGTAAGAAAACACCAACTGCTAGT